CGCAAACATCGGTCGCAAATCAAAACGTTATGATTCACTGATAGGAAATTTCTTTACTCTGTTCCTTCCGTATCTCCATTCCAATATTGTGATTTATCCTTATCGATATTATTCAATCATTAACTTCGTCACGCTATTTCAAGTAAATTTTATGCATACAAACAAATTCAAAATTTAGTCAGTGGCCGTCCATCTTATAAAGATCTCAGCAGAAGCGGTAGCCATAAGACCGATAGAAAATTAGGTTTGCCGTTTTGGTACTACCATGGTTCTCTACACTGATAGAAGTTAATTTCGGAATGCGCATTTTTCATCGGCTTACTGAGCGCTTAGGGACTGAAGGAGACCCTGCAACAGTCTGTCGTCTCATACGTGGTGGGAAGACGAGAGGCTCACATCGGTGATTTAAACCCCCCAGCGAATATGCAGACTGACAATAGGTGGTAAAACCCTCTTTGTTTATAACTGAGAACAGAACGACAATAAAGGATGATAATGAGTGTTGCTTGACGGAATCGGCCTACAAAACTAAACTACCACCGATTGGATATTTTTCTGTTTCAAACGGGGGCTCCGCACATACCCCATCTGGCCACATGTAACGTTTTGACAGTCACGTTATCCGACTGATGACATCACTTCCTAAACGTTAAACACGGAGAACAATATGTTGCGTAGCCGTTAACTGAGGATTCGCGTAATTTTATTACAATGGACGGTGTCTAACGATGGCAGAAATGAGCATACTACAGCCATCCCAGAGGTGTCAACAAAGGTTATAGAAATAATACCTGGGACGAATTTAATAAAACAAATATTATCAATGCCGTTAGGGTTAAATCGTCTTTCTTTAACAGTGTTTATACTGAACGTAGAGACATTTTCTTGTTTGAAAACCTGCTTCACAACATGTACTAACTCAGACGTCCGTCGCTACACTTGAAAGAATAATTAGACAGTTAAGATATGCCCAATTTACAAAACAGTATTTTGATTTACTTATACTCCCACATACTGTTAATTCATCCACTAACTAGGGGTAACTTCGTACTATAATGCCGTGGCTTATGGCACTAGCCAGCAATTATCTTCATGTGTATAAACCAGGCTTACACTTGAAATTGTGCATTTCCGAGTTTTCTCTGTTACTAAAGAGTAATTAATTAATTTTTCATTCTTTATTCAGACAACGTACACAACCAAATCAGAATTAAGGAATGAAGGGGATTGAAGATACATTTAGAAGACAGTAGGTGTATAGAGAAGTGTGTGATCTAAGCTGGTTAGTTGTGATAGATGCGCAGCACGAGACACTCAGTGATGATCCAGTGTGGATGGGTGACCGTGAGCCTTCAGCTAATGTATGTTCGGTAAAAGTAAACATGTCGGCATCAGTGTCAAAGACCTACAGAACTATTTATTTCAGAACTTTGTTCGAGGCTGCTTATATAATTTGAATCTCAAATGAGTTCCGGAACGATTTTACAGCGAAGTCAGAGTATGCGATACAAGTAATTTCATTGACCTAAAACAAACGCGTATATCTAACCACCAAATCCACGAATGCTCATACGAATGGCGAAAATCACGTAGTTGGTTTAACGTCTCCGTAAGACTATGAAGAGTCAAAACGTTACATGAATGACTGCGAAGAATCACCCTGTTTAAATTATTTGGTCGAATATTTCTCCAGTAACTTCATTTCAATCCACAGCCGAAATCCCAGAGCCTTAATATGAAGCTTTTTTTGTGTAGATTAAACAAGCTTAGAGAACGCATGTATAACCCTGCATTTCAAGAGTTTTGATTTGTCTTCACCAGTCAATTTTTGACACTTGTCTTAGCGAGATCTAGTGACTGGATAGGCTATACGAAGTTAGGACCAAGAACAAAGGCAAGTTGGAGCTGACCATTCCACTTGTGGACTGTCTAAACGATAAAAAACGTGTAAAGGACAGGGCCTACCACCTCGGCAAACCTCATATAGGTGGGCTACCTGTCCACTCACATAAGGTTCATACAGAAAAACAGGACGAAGCTCACGCGTTCCAAATTGAAAGCATAAACTGCTTATATATGAACGCCGCGAGTCTACCAAACAAAGTGGATGAACTACGTGAACGTAGCAACGCTAATAAGGCCTATCTGATAGGAATATCTGAAACCTGGATATCTTCTCAGTTCTCGGACCAAGAGTTAGCATTACCTGGGATGACTTTGTTTCGCAACGACAGAAAAACAGGAATTGGGGGCGGAGTAGCCATATACATAAGCTCTTGCTTGGAGGTGCACCATGTTCACAACCTCGAGTTTAACAATCTTGAGGAATCCATATGGTGCTCTGTAAGGTTGTCTAGTACTTCCAGGTGTCTAGTCGGAGTCATTTACAGGAATCCAACTGCCGACATCGAGTACGATAGTCGTATGCTGGAAGGACTATCCCGCTCTATCCGTCTCGGTTTCACACACATCCTGATTCTAGGGGACTTTAATCTCCCTAGAGTCAACGTAGCGGAACACACGTACACTGGAGGCGACAACTCAACTGAAGCTCGGTTGTTCAACCTCATCGATAACTTAGGCTTATATGAAAATATGAGGTCGGCAACTCGTTGGAGAAACAGTCAGACACCATCGCGCTTAGACTGTGTATTCACTAACGAAGAATTCCTAGTTGACAACCTCTCAATCCTGGCTCCTCTGGGAAAGAGCGATCATGCCGTCATAGCCTTCAGTTTTGTCATCAAAACTAAGCTAAGGTATCCCAACAATAATTTGCGTTGGAATTTTAAACGGCTGAATGTGCCAGCTCTACATGACTATCTACAACAGGTGGTTTGGGATGTTCACCCTCAACTCGATGTGAATGGTCAATGGGACTTCTTACTGCACACGCTCTTATGTGCTACAGACCATTCAGTTCCTCAAACGGTTCCCAAAAGCTGCAAGCCACCTACAGTAATCAAGAACCGTACCCTTCGCCTGCTAAGCCGCAAAAGGCACTGTTGAGCGGAATACAAACAAACTAATAACGATGGAGTGTATAGGCAATACAAACATATCAGGAACACATGCACGAAGGCTATAAGAGAAGACAGGCTTCAGTACCAAACAAAGCTTATGGACAAATTCGCCTCTAACCCTAGAAGCCTATTCCGTTATGCAGCCTCTCTTCGTCAAGCCAAAACAGGAGTTTCTCAACTGCTAGGTCTTAACGGCCCGACCAACAACGATGGCGACGCCGCTAACCTTCTGGCGGCACATTACTCTCAAACATTTCAACCGGCTGACATCAACTTTATTGACGACAGTTTCATCTGCAATTCCACAGGACTTTCTGAAGTGGACCTAGGCGCAGACTTGGTGTTCCGGAAATTGCAGCACTTAAGACTTGACACTTCTCCTGGCCCGGATATGGTTCATCCTGCCATACTGAGGGAGGCAGCCTCAATCCTGGCAACGCCGCTTAGCGTGATGTTTTCTCACTCGCTTAGCCGAGACAAATTACCGGAAAATTGGAAGTTGGTTCACATCACACCAATTTTCAAAGGTGGTCGACGCAATGAACCTTCAAGTTATCGGCCGGTGGCTCTTCTGTCATTACCTTCAAAACTCATGGAGTCCCTGATATGCGACGGTTTAAATGACTATCTACTGTCCTTAAATTTCTTCTCACCCCTACAGCATGGTTTCAGGAAGGGTTACTTTTGTACAACCAACCTTCTGACTGCGGTGGACAGATGGACAAGCATCCTCGATTGCAAGGGAAAGGTTGATGTCATTTACCTTGATTTCTCAAAAGCTTTTGATAAGGTTAACCACTTGTGTCTTATCAACAAGCTCAAACGACTGGGTATCAAACCACCTCTAATCGATTGGCTTACCTCATACCTAAAAAATCGACACTTTAAGGTTAGGGTTAATTTCACTTTATCTCAGGCTATGGAATGTCCTAGTGGGGTCCCCCAGGGCTCAGTACTAGGGCCTCTTCTCTTCTTGATCTACATAAATGATCTTCCTCAACAGGTAACGTCAGACTTACTACTTTTTGCCGACGACGTGAAACTTTGGAGAGAGATACGCAACCAAGACGATACACAGGCACTTCAGGAGGATCTGACGCGACTTCAAAGTTGGGCAGACGATAACGGACTTACCTTTAACACTTCAAAGTGTAAAGTAGTCCATCTGCGACATGTCGCAAACTACAGTTACAACTTAGGAAACTCCTCTCTAGTAGTATCCCAAGTCGAAAAAGATTTAGGAGTCCTGGTGCCCCATGACTTAAAGTCTTACGCTAACTGTGACAAAAATGCCTTCCGAGCAAACCTTGCACTGGTAACGTTGAGGCGCATTTTTGGCCAGTTTGACGGAAGAACTTTCCATATAATCTTCAATAGTTTCATCCGTCCCCATTTAGAGTACGGAAACATAGTACTCCCCCCTCACTCCATAAGGACAAGGTCACTTTGGAGCGTATCCAACGGCGAGCCACGAAATCAGTTCGAGGACTCAAATCTAAGCCTTACGAAGAACGCCTCCGTTCACTAGACCTTTACCCACTAGAATATAGGCGTCTTAGAGGTGATTTATTAGTGGCTTATAGTATTCTTAACACTTCTGGACATCCTCTTAAACACCTACTTAAGCTTAGTTCGAATAATAACCTAAGGGGTAACACCCAGAAACTGGAAACACAACATAGCAAGACGGAATGTAGACACAACTTCTACTCCTTAAGAGTTGTCAAAAGCTGTAATTCGCTGCCGGCTGAGCTAGTCCAAGCGACTTCTCAGGAGTCCTTCAAGAGGCAACTTGACCTATTCTTAAGGACCAAGGACAGCATCACACTATGATTTACCAATTTCTTTTCCTCTTTTATTGTTAACATACCTAGGTTCCTGCCTGAAGGATTTGGTGATCCCCTGCTACTAGACACGGAAGCCTGTTAAGCGAAAGCTTCTTCTATTCCGTCCACAACCATTTGAACCATTTGACCGAGCGGAGGAGCGCTATATACAATGTGGGAGTTACAGGAGTTTATCGGAGACGGTACTTCCCTAAATATCTTGTTACAGATTTTAGTGCTCAATAAGACCTTCGTTATCAGCCAACCAGGTGTTATTAAGTTTGGTGGTTCAGGATGTGACGTTGACTTGCGGCCAGCTGTGTGTAGTGAGGTGGCTAATATGTTTGTTATCGGTACTGATACTAATTGTGTGGTATGCTTGTCCTGTTTTAATAAACACAGTAGAACGGTTTACAGTTTAATCTGTCGGAAAGTGTTCAGGGACAATCTTTAGTCAATGGCGTGTTGTCAAAAGAATACCAGCTCATAAAGTCAGGAGACATGGTACAATTTCGTTCCGTATCGAACAAGAAGTTTATGTATGTTATCAGCTTATTAATTTTCGAAGGTTGATCTACAAAGAAATCATTATACTTTTTTCTTCGATGGAGAGGAATATACGAAAAAAAGCTAAAACAGTCGCCAACCTCATTCATGCAAAAGTTTTAAGTGATTGGTCAAACGAATGCAATGTTCTTGTTATGCAATCTCTGATTGTTACTTCGAAAGTGATAGTTTCTAATATCGCCCTATATTTAGCAGGTTATATGTGCATTACTTAGCTGTATTCCTATTGTTACACTGGACTACTTGGAAGAAATCAAGAAAATCCAAGGCTACACATTCGCAACGAAACCTGATCCAGTAACACATAATTCTTGACTTTTAACCCTCTAGAAAGACTTTTTGCCGATTATGAAGGAGGAAAAACTGACACAGAATGACGCCTCAAGGTTTCTCCCCAATGATTTGCGACGTCTTTTATTTAGTAGAAAGGTATTCTTTGTTCTAAATAAAGACAAGGTTAGTCGTAGATCTGACTATAAACTATTCGTGGTTGTAGTACAATATTCTGTCGGAGATAATCCGTTTGGGGAACGGGAGTTCATGTTTACTTGATTCTCCTGATGCTCTACTTACCTCCAATTCAAACAATAAAATGCATGTGACTGGACATATTGCTGTAGATGATCTCCTTCGTGATATTTTATCGAAACCAGAGTCATGCGTCGTTCATTTTCATCCCACATCTGTAACCGAATCATGGCAGCGAAAAGTTTATTCTGTATTGCGTAGTCTACGCCGCAGACCCATTCTAGAATCAGAACTGGGTTTCGCTGTTGTATATTGCTCGACAAAGTTATATTGCAATCCAGATAAACGCTGTCGTAAGCAATTATCATTATCTTCTGTTTTTAGACGTGTAATTTTTTTTTCATGTCATTGAAAATTTTCGGCAATCGTTTTTTATCTTATACTAAAGTGACGTGTAGTCAGTGAAGAGATAAACTGAGTATTTAAGATTCCATTCCGTTAACATGCCGTGTGTCATTGTTTGACCTATTAATTTCAAGCGAATTGACCATTTGTTAGATTGTTTATGAAGAAATGACGTTAATCTTTACACAGTTATGTATGAAAATTAGATTGTGTTGATTGTAATTCGTTCCGTACTAGAGTCGTGATTCCTGACAACGAATATCTAGGATGATCTTAAAGATTGAATAGTCCTGTAAAACTCCGATCTGTAAATTAAATCGGCAAAAGCAGTATATGCTGCTTTCAACAACCATGAAACCGATGTTAGGGTCCGCGTGACTGTCGTAACCAATGGTTGGAGACTCTGGTTGACATGGCTCAGAATTGATCACAGTGGCGTCGGTGTATACACTCTCTGTCTTCCCTTAAACTATGAGATTAAAATCGCTTAATATCTTTCTTCCTATCTACGTACTAAATCATTCTTCCTGTACTACATCCTTATATGCAATCTTTCTTTTGTATATTACCACCATTGAATTAATTACTTCTATGAATCCGGTGTTTATCTTGTTGTGCTAATGCGGTATGGCAACTTGAACCGATGCATATACGTGCCTGGTCTTACGTTGTAGCTGACTGACTGAAACTAATGTCAGAAGTGTCGAAATTATTGAAAAGGGTTTCCCTAAAAATAAAGAATTAGCGGCTGGAACTTATAATTTATCGTTAAACCTTACTGCGTTTAGCAGAAAGTAGGGCTTGGCTACTCATCCAATTTGTATCAATTATTCAAACAAATGACTAATCTGTTCATATCTGATAGTATTAATACACAAGTATAACTCTACCTTTTTTACACTTACAATCACTCACATACTGCACATGAGTATATCTCACATAATTACCTAAACCTGAGCGAAATAACATTATGACCAAACTAGCTTTGAATGTACTAAATATCTTACTTTGATCCCTTTGTGCTATATTAAATTGTACTGATTTAATCACAGTTGTTTACTCATCCTTTGAAGAAGTGACTTGCAGTAAGTCGCGGAACTCCGACCGTTGCTGCTACCTTAACGTGATTGTCGGGCTTACTTGTCGTAAAGAACAAATAGAAATACATTGGTTGGAACAATCGTTCCTCAAGGTCCTACCATGTCAAACAGGTCGGTTGAAGAATAGTAAGACTGCTGACACTACAGAGGTGTGATAGCAGTAAGATATTTCCTTCAGACACCAAGCATAACAGCGATGCAGACTTCCCACAAGGAAGGGTGGGGTTAGAAAAGGTCGACCCCCAAAATGCACACCTCACCTTATCCTACAGATTCCTATCTCCGGCCGTAAGGCCCCAACAAGTACGGAGCTAACACGAAAATTACTCACAAAAAGGTTGTGTGTGACCGGTCTCAAGCGGTTGTCACTTGGGCGATCGTTTATTTCTGACAAGCACTATTTTTAAGCATAAGGAGAGACATCGTCTGATATGGCGACCCCATGCACCAAACCAGCGATGAACTCAAATAGACCATATCGCCATCAGTCATCGTTGGAGGGGCTCGATAGAAGACTGCCACCCGTTCTCGAGTACATGTTTAGACTCTGATCATACTCTAATACGAGCACGCATTTGCTTGCGCCTCACTGGACACAGAAAAATCACATTAAGAAGACCTATGAAAGTTGAACTCAGTGACGAAAAAGTTAAGAGTAGATTCCGGGAACAAATGAGGACACACTTAGGTAGTTCCGAAAACTAGGCTAACCTAGATGTTGATTAGAAAGATATACGAACATCTGTGGAAACAGCTGCGACAACTATTGCACTGATCGATTTTCGTGAACTTAGCCGATCAGGCTCCGAACGCGATGAAAGCGAAAACAAATAAGATATAAGCTAGTCAAAAGCCTGCGGAACGATCGTCATCAGTCGCAGGCAACGAAAGCAAGGGATTGAAAAGGCAGCGGCTGTAGGTAACATCAGACATCTTTTCAGACTAATAAAGGAAACCGGAATTAAAAAGTGTGTGAAACAGTTTTGAAAAAAAAGACACCCTTATCTGCTCTCAGTTTAGAGATTTAGAACGATAAACGGAACACTTCAAGGAGCAATTTGAATTAAGCTCCCCGACACTGATTGAAGTTCAAAAGCTATAGCTAATCTGAAACGCAGAAAGCCAGATGGATTAACTCTAGATGTCTTTAAGGATGGTGGTTCAGTTTTAGCGATTAGGTTGACAAATATTTTCGCTAAAATCTGGGAATAGGACGTAATCTCATGTGACTGGTCGCAACCACTGATCGTCTAAATATATAAGAAGGGGTCGAGGTCATCCTGTGCTAACCATAAAGGGATTAGTTTAACCAATATGACATCTAAAATACTAGCCTCAATAATTATCGGACGCCTTAAAAAGACTCGTGAACTGCAAACACGAGAAAATCAGGTTGGCTTCAGATCTAGTCGTGGCTGCATCGACCACATATTCACCGCTCATCAGATTTTAGAACACAACCATGCCCATTCTTGCCCGACAATGATAGTTTTTTTAAATTTAGAAACAGCATTTGACTCTGTAGACCGAGAGGTTCTGTGGCAGTGACTGTCGTTGAAAGGTGTACCTCAGAAGTATATAAACCTTGTGAAGGCTCTTTACTCGAACACTACCAGTCTAGTCAGAGCTTATTGAGAACTGTCATCTGATTTTGCAATCTCAAGTGGTGTCCGCCAAGACTGTCCACTATCTCTATTTCTGTTCAATTTCGTCATAGACCTACTGCTGGAAATAACGTCGTCGTTGACTGCATTTTCAGGCACTGATCCCTTACCAGGAGGTTCACTTATTGACTTAGGATACGCAGATGACATAGTCATGTTTGATGAAGCTGATAAAATGCAGTCTTTTGGTAGCACTGAGCAACAATGCCAGAATGTTTGAGATTCATTTCTGCTCTAAATGTTGCTTCAGGACTTGCCTACATCAATACCCTGGACCAAGGATAGGGAGTGAAGTAGTCGAACGCGTGGACAACACTTATCTTGGAAGTCTGATCAGCCCTAGTGGGTTGGTGTCTGATGAAATCTCAGCATGGATTCAAAAAGCTCGTTTGGCTTTTACCAAATTACGTGACCTATGGTGAAGGAGAAATTTCCATCCACTACTCAAGGAACGAGTATGCTGCCCAGCAATTTGTTCTGTTCTACTTTACGGTTGCCAAACGTGGTCATTAAGAGTTGAAGATACTCGTAAGTTACTAGTACGCGATTGCAGATGTCTTAGAAATATTGCTGGGATCACCGGGTAGGTAATGGTGAGGTTAGACGTGTAGGGTATTAGGGAACGATGGCAAACCAGCTGATGAGGTTGTGAATTTTCATCAACTGAGATAGCTGAGTCACCTGTTACGTATGCTTGAACGCTGATTACCATGACGCGCAATGCTGACTAGTGTTGGAGACGTATGGACGTTAGGGGCGGCCAAACTAAAACGTGGCGTCAGTCCATTAGGTCACTTACTTCTGGTCTGATCCACGTTGGTGGATGCAGACCATTTGGTTAGGGTCTGTGTGACTATCGTTACCAATGGTTGGAGACTGGGTGACATGGCTCAAGATCAGTCACGTTGGCGTAGGTGTACACATTCTTTGTCTTCCCTTAAACCGTGAGATTTAAACTACTTTATACCTTTCTTTCTACGAACTAATTCTTTCCCTCTGTATCATATCATTATGTGCAATTTTTCTTTTTTATATTACTACCATTGAAGTAACTGCTTCTATGAATTCGGTGTCCATCTTGTTGTGCTAATGCGGTATGGCAACTTGGACCGATGCATATATGTGTCTGGTCATGCGTTGTAGATGACTGACTGAAGTCACGAAACATCAGAAGATCAATTTTCTACTCGTTGGGATATTAATAATATTTTAATTATTTCTTTTTTTGCTTAGCTGATGGATTATACCAAGAAATTGATATATCTGGTACATTCTCGGTGAATCCGTTTCAAATAGACTCGGAAGTTGTCTCATCGGAACTTAGCCAATTATCTACTACAGTGGTTGGCGCGAAAATTCCTGACTCTACTCATAGGAAGTTTGTCCCTACTGTTTCTTTCCGATCACATCATTGTTTTAGTTCTTTTATTTAATTTTTTACTTTTCCTAGGAAAATTCACAATATCGCAAGAATGAAAACTCTAAACATTTAATCCGTTAGTTTGACCACCTCTTTAATGAAATCGCCGGTTTGAACCAGAACTATTAGCTTCGTTTTACTTGTTTGCAAATAATACAGTAATCGATTTTATATGTATCAAATTGTTTGCTTCGGAAAACACTTCAAAAATTGAACTTGATGTCTGTGAATCTAAACAAAGGAAAAGCAAATGCGTCATTCCTCTTGAAGACATGAGGCGACTATAATTTTATTAATTTTCTAGAGGATATTTAGGGATAATCTTAGTTTCGATCTTTGTTTTCACTTTAGATTGACTATTTGTCTTATCATATCAGAAGGGTTTTTGTGGATATTATAGTAATTTCAATTTGTCTTTTCACAATTTTTCTATCTTATTTCTTGTTTGATTTTCAGTCATTTGGGTTTGGGCGTCTGTCATCATTTCTGTAAATTTAGTCAACAGAATTGGTTGTAAATCATTTTTCAAGCAGTGGTATAAACTCAGATTATTCTTCGCATAAAAACCAGGGTTATTAGCCAGCAACACAAACCAAAATTAGTAGTGCAAAGTTTGAACATGTTATCTGCTTGTTAGAATTTGAGTGTGTTAACCTCTAAGGGGATACAACAGTGACTCTTGGTTCTGAAATTGTGCTTCGCCTAACTCTATCTCCCCACACTATATACTATAATTGATAGACTTGTAAATTCATACCCATGGAATTCAACCAACTTCATTTGTCCAAAATAATGTTCGCTTTTGTCATAGAAGATGATGTTTCTGTCTCTTTCAGCTGTCGCATTGATCTTCAGATAAAAATTACAAGAATCTCTTGTGGCTTTTAACGATAGTTGGGTTTGGTAATGGTTGCTCTAGGGTTTTCATACGTTAAAATCTGGTATCACTGGCTGATATAATCTATTAACCTAATGTATTTTTGGAGCATTCACCACTTATCACCTATGTTTTCTGCGTTTTAAGATGGAACGGGGTCTCTGCGGTTTGTTTTATCTAAGTAATCAGATCTATGGTGTTTATTTTTTATTTGCCTTTTTGTTTCATACCCAATATTTATGTGTACAATATTCTCTTAGTTTTTCATCTAAAATGAAGAATACCGAATCAGACTCTGGACTCAAATTAAGATCATATCAAACTGCAAGGTTATGTGAACGTAAATTTGGGTCTACTATATCTAAAATTGTTCCTGTGAAAACTGTTAGTGTTCTAATTTTAAATGTTCATCAGATTTGGTGTCTAATTAATCTCTCACTGTAACTGATTTTCTTGGTATAGTCTGTGTTTTAACCAAACTGCCCATTTTAGGATGTTTGATACTATGTGGCTACCCAAACCAAATAAAATTCCAGTGGCCTTAGGTCTGACAATCGTTATAGCTGAATTAAGCAATGACTTTCCTGATTAATTACTTTTTGATTAAGCGAAACGTTTATTGCATTATGCAACTTTGATTTCAACTTAATTATATACGATTCATCATTGAAACAAATACTACACTTAAATCGTCTGATTAAGTCAGTATATCATAGTTATTCCACTGCTCGTAACCTATTGTGGTTGTTTAAGATTTTCCGTGGTGTAGCTTACTAATGAAACCGGTTAAATATGGTAGAAACTGGCATCTTCGAAGTTAAAAATAAATCTATCTCACAGCTTAACAATGTTCATATTTAGCTACGGATTATAACAATTGAATGCAAATTTATGCGTGACAATTCAAATTTTTTTGAAAAACATCTCAGCGAATTGGAACACTAAATTTTGGTATCATTTCAAGGTAGAAAGGCAGACTGCTATACTTTTTTGCCTTGACTAAGTGTAAAAATTCCGTCTAGTTGATTGTGTTTACATGAAAAGAGAATTGTTTGGAAAAGTTTATCATAAATTTGTCGTCCTCCTTCTGGTTGATAGTTTTAAATTTCAGGATTTTTCTCATCATCAATCATTTTCATTCAAAATCCGCTATTAACTAAATGATCAGTAGTTTGATGGTTAAGGAGTTCGACCTTGGACCACTAGGTCTCATGATCGGGTTCTGTTCCACCTACTAGGCAGTACCACTAATCCTCGTACATAAGGTATGGCTTGAAGTCGAGTATAATAATCTGTATTTGGCGAATTGCATTGATCTTTTTCTTTAAATTTGCTCTGAAACAATTCCTCAAAACTACCAGCCTTCAATATTCTTGTAAATAAGCATTTCCTGTAAGTTTTGTGGTCGAGTAGCAAATAATTCTAATATTTAAGTTACTATGTATATAGAAATTGGCTTCATTCAGCCGAATTATTGTTTACTATACTATATATAATTTTGTGATATGTTATATCTTCACTTTTTGTGTTAAGTAAAAATTCGCATCTCTAGTTGTTTGTTTTTCTTAATAGCCTGAGCGTATGACTGTGGGAAGCGTTTTAGCATATGACTCAGAGCCTTTAGTAAGTCAAAATTTTGTTGATTCACCACAAACTGCACATTTGGATTTGGAAAATCAAGAGCCTTGTAAACTTGAAGCAATCTTGAAAAACAGTATCTCTACTTCAACCTTCGGTAATTGATTTTTTTCAATAATTCATTTGAATTTAGATACAAGAATTTGGTTTATCACCCATTTTAGACAGAATAACCTCTTATAATTCCTTTGCATTTAATTAACTGATTGCTTTCTTACAAATTTTTTTCACTCGTGTTACTTGCACCTTTACTATGAATAGGGTCTTTTATTTCATCTGTTGCTCATTTCGTAAACACATTATATTTTGATTGAGATCATAAACCGATTGATGTTAGACCACCATTGAAAACATGATCTAACATCAATCGGTTCATGATCTCAATCAAAAACTTAATAATCTCCACAACTCCTATACTGACACTTATTTTAGACTGAGAAATTTAACTATGGTTATAAGTTACTTTGATATATTTCTGTCCTATTGTCTGAGGAAAATCATTTTTAGATACAGTTATTCACAAATAACGTAGAACTTAACATAATGCTATGCCGTCCCATTTCGCCACACTCAGGAAGAAATTCACAAGATGAAGAACTAGCGAATCAAAAACAATATTAATGGCGATAAAAAATGGAGGTAGGAAATATAAATGAACTGGATCACAGTCCAATAGTAATAGTTCTAAAATAAAATTAAATTTACTATTTAGATAAGGATAATGAATAAGTACATCTGCGCAATTGCAACTACTTTCATCTGAATTCTCTTAAACTTTAGCAGGAAGTTTCATCTCTTAAGACAACTCATCCATGGTCAATTTCCTAATAGATTGCTACTTTATCTTAGTCCGGTCGTTTTATCCTAATTCCAGAATACTTCTCTAAGCACCATTGCATATTGGAGTATGTGGTAGCTCTGCTTTGATTTCCAATCCACCTTAGTCAATAAAATTGCTAAGTCTCGTCAACCAACATACTATTTTTATCTAGTGTTTTACTCTAAAATTCAGTACCGCACGAGTAATTCAAAAAAGATTTCAACATTTAGGGGGCTCCGACAGAGATCTATCCTTCATTAATTTAAACTGTTTTACGAATAACTTCGTCTTCTATTTTTGCCTGTTCATAATCATTTTTTCTATGTTCATACTTTAAATTACATGTCGTTTCCGTTGTATTTTTCGCAGGATCGTCAATAATTCATCAACCTTTAGCATGCATTGATAAGAATGATTTGTTAAACACATTAAACAATATGCCTTCACTTCTTCAAACAAAAATTAAGCAAGGTACGTTGCTCGAGTCTAACGTCAATAATAAGAAGAATACAACTCAGCTCTCACCATCATTGTCTAACAAAAGTTTTGACAGTATCAAACCGGAAATCCCTAAGTATGAATTATTATTGGAAAATGATGCAAATTCATCTGTTGTAACTGGATCGAATTCATGTAGCCTCGATTTAAATAATGGTCATTCATTTCCATCTAATAATGAAAATCGTCGATCAGGAAGTTGGCTCCGAAAACATCCAGCTGATAACGGTGCTGATGTTGTTGATACAGTAAGTTTTATTACCTTCTATCGATTAATATTTCCAGTATAACACGGCCCGGAGTACAAGGACTAATTTCTTCAGTAAAGATGTTAACCACAATACAATAGTCCTTTGGTTAAACTTACTAATATCGGAAGTTGTACAAACGAGGACCAACAAATGGAAAGTCTTTCAAGTGATATTGTAAGAGCTAAGTGAAAGGGATGATTTAATTTGTTCATTCTGGTCAGTGTCTTTTTTAGCAAGATTGTTTCTACAGGATAAGGTTGCTGACCTTATGCCCAACCCTCGTCTTTACCCCCGGGCTTGGGACCGGCAGTAACCATAGAAAAGCTATAGGCTGAGTGGAAAAGTGGCAGGACCTGATAATATACCAGCTGAAGCACTGGAGTCAGACATATGATCAACTCCAAACATGCTCCACGTTCCATTCAGAAAGATTTGGGAGGAAGAACAAGTGCCGATAGACTGAAAAGAAGGATATCCCATCACAATACAAAAGAAAGGAGATCTGAGCAAGTGTGAGAACTACAGAGGCATCACACTACTGTCGGTGCCAGGGAAAGTCTTCAACAGAGTGTTGCTGAACCGGATGAAAGATTCAGTTGACACCCAACTTTGAGATCAACAGACCGGATTACGTAAGGATCGGTCGTGCACAAACCAGATCGCGACACTACGGATCACCGTTGAACAGTCGATTGGATTGATTTCGTCACTATACATCAACTTCTTTGACTATGAGAAGGCGTTTGAGAGAACGAATAGGAGAACCTTATGGGACCTTCTTCGACACTAGGGTGTACGTGAGAAGATCGTCAACACCATTCGGAATCCATAGAACGGACTACACTGCAAAGTTGTGTATGGAGGACAGCTGACAGACACATTCCAAATAATGACCGGAGTCAGACAAGGTTGTTTACTCCCTGCCTTCTTTTTCTTCTGGTGTTTGACCTGATTATGAATACCTTCACATCAAACTGCTCCACGAAGCAAGCCCTAACTCGGAATCATGAGGGGAAACGGAGAAGAGGAAAACCAAAGAACGAATTGCACCGAGAATTGGAAGCAGGTATGAAAAGGGTGAATAGCAACTGGAACGGACAGAGTTGGATGGAGAATGCAAGTGGTTGGTCAATACTCCTCCACGAAGTGTAACATGTGTAAGTAAGTAAGTGGACGGAATATGTTATCTCTTCTTTTACTAGAGCGAAACATACTGAGTGTTTATAAAATAGTCATCCCATGGATCATTTTTGGCTTTCTTGCATATCGTAGTGAAGAAGCTTATAAGTCTCAGTCTTCAGTCAGTCAGTAACAACGTAGGACTTCGTACGTACGTACATCAGTTCGAGTTGCCACACCACATTAGCACAGAGATGCACTTGTCGATTCAAATCCCGTAGTGGTAGAGGTAATAAGAGCGTAAGCAGTAATCGGGAAGATTAGTGTTTGGAGATGTTAATTAAAGAGTATAATACAGTGAAATAAATTTGAGAGGAGAGAAAAAAGAGTCAAGGAGGAATAAGGAGATTAGAATTTGGGAGAACACAAAGAGTGAATGCACCTGCGCCATTGCAGACGATTTTGAGCCATGTCATTCAGGGTCTCTAACCATCGGTTGCTATCATCTCGCGGTCCCCAACCAGGTAGTCTACACCTACCAACATGACTCAGTCCACTTGTCAGTGACTTCATGAACTTGCGCCATGCTTGGTCTGACCGCCTCTAGCTTTCTTCCAACCTACTCCTATACCATTGGACATCGCACGTCGAGGGAGTCGGTGGTTGGGCATACGTAACACTTGTTCCAGCCATCTCAACTGATGAAGTTTCACTACTTCATCAATTGATTTGCCATCCTTACCTAGTACCCGTTTCCTAACAACTGCGTTACTTACTCGATGGTCCCATGATATATGAGCAATGTTTCGAAGACACCTATGATCGAATACTAGTAACCTACGAATATCCTCTACTCTTACCGGCCATGTTTCACTGTCATAAAGTAGGACGGAACGAACTGCTGCGCAGTAAACACGTCCTTTGGTTGATAGACGGATATCTCGCCTATGCCATAAATGACGCAAGTTGGCTAAAGCTAGTTGAATTTTCTGTATCCGTGCTGAGATTTCGTCACACACCAGACCACAAGGGCTGATGAGACTTCCCAGAAAGTGAAGCGGTCGACACGCTCAACTACTTCACTCCCTACCATTAGTTCAGTTGTCGATGCAACCCAATCCTGAAGCAACATTTTACATTTCGAGGGGGAGAATCGCATCCCGAACATGCTTGCATTGTTGCTTAGAGTGGTCAGAAGACTGCATTTTGTCGGTGTCTTCATCAAATAGAATTATGTCATCGGTATATTTTAGGTCAACAAGTGAATCTCCTGGTAGAAGTTCAACTCCTGGAAATTCTCATGAGGAAAGTGTTATCTCTAAAAGTACGTCAATGACAAGGTTGAACAAGAATGGGGGGAGTGCACAGCCCTGACGAACACCACTTGAGGTAATCAATTCTGATGACAGTTCTCCATAAGCTCTCACTCAACCAGTTGTGTTCGAGTAAAGAGCCTGTATTAGGTCAATGTACTTCTTTGGTACTCCTTTCAGTGACAAACATTGCCATAGAACCTCACGATCAACGGAGTCGAATGCTGCCTTAAGGTCGAGAAATACTACGATTGTGAAAGCGTCTGGGTGTGTGTCTATGTTCTAGGACCTGACGTGAATATCTGGTCTATACAACCACGTCCAGGTCGAAAACCAGCCTGATTTTCTCTAGTCTGCTCTTCACGAGCTCTAGTTAGGCGTCGAAGTATTATTGAAGCTAATATTTTAGACACTATATTTGTCAAACTGATTCCTCTGTGATTGTCACAAGAGGACTTTTGTCCTTTCTTAAAAACTGGCACAATCAGTGATTGAGACCAGTCAGATGGGATTACGTCCAGCTCCCGGATTCTACCTAAGACCTCAGTCGATCTCACTGCTAATACTGAACCACCATCCTTAAAAATCTCAGGAGTAAACCTGTCAGGGCCTGCTGCTCTCCCTCGCTTCAGATTTCCTATGGCTTTTTCAACTTCGTAAAGAGTCGGAGGACTTACATTAACTTGCCATTCAGGTAGACTCGAGATCGTGGGAAACCAAAGTGTGGCTGAAGGCCAGTTGAACTGATCCCTAAAGTGTTCTGCCCATCGATCCAATCTCCTGGATTGAGAATGTATAATATGTCCATCTTTCTCTGAGGGTGTTTCGCTAACAGTCAGTTTTCTAATACCGGTTTCCTTAACAAGTCTGAACAATTGTCTGCTATTATCTTTTGCCGCTGCCTTTTCCATCTCTCTTGCTTTCGCTACCCACACTGTTCGCGATCATTGCGTAGACTTCTTGTCAGCTTGCGCTTAAGCTGACTCCGCTCTTCGTTATGTTCAGGGCCAGATGGAATGAGTTTTCGAGCACCTATCAGTGTGGTAGATGCTGCTGAGATCCAGTGTTTCTCCCTAACCTTACGCTTTACCGTACTAGCAGATATCAATGCTGTTTCCACAGCTTTTCGGATATCATTCCATGCTGCCTCGGGGTGGGCATCACATACATGGCTGCGTAACTGTTTTTCTAGTTGTTCCTGAAATATACTCTTAGCTTGACCATCATTAAGTAGGTCCATAAGAGGCTTCCTTACAGCGTCTTTCCTACGTGAGGTAAGACGCAGACAAATACGCGCTCGCACTAGAGCATGATCTGAATCTAAGCATGTACTCCAGAATAAGCGATACGTCTAAGCAACTCAGATTGTCAGTTTAAAAATTATCAAGATTGTTTGTACTAAATCTGTGTGTGTTAAATACTATCTTCTGGGTAAGTTTTCGAAAGTAGACTTTTCTGCAGTCACACCGAATTAACTAGACAACTCGGAGGTCTCATTTGTTATACTTCCAAGCCTTAGTTTTCAAAGTATTGGGATTTTCTGTAGCGAGAAATACATGTCCCTTCCACTAGGCACCCAGGCTGTATCACAGCCCACAAACAAATCAAGTGACTTATGTGACGCATACGTATTCGGTGCCCCTTTGTACCAATATTTGTGTTCAAATAAATAAATAAGTCCCTGCCACTTTGTTCCCTTTTATTTTGAGGTTTTGTATAGTTACATACATAGTGATCACTGGTTTCTCTTTAAATCATTTCACTCACTGAACTTAAAAGCTGTACATTCCTCAACCATGTTTGCTAGTTGAATTCACTGTCATTGGCAAACCATTATTTTTATCATAGTGCATTTAATGAAATTCTTTAATTAACAATAATCATTGCATAAATTGGATTGTCGATTTAGTGTTGAGATTTCTATCTAAGGTTAAAAGGAATACTAATTTTGCAATTTATCAAAACATACCAAAGTAATATAAAATTACTACGCTTGAATTAACTTATATATAACTGATGTTTGGTGAGTAGATTATTATATTGTCCAGGTGTTTTTTTGAAAAAATGATTTATTCTGAAGAACTAAACAGATGAATAAGACTACTAAGTTAGTTTCTTCGGGTTTTTTCCCCGGACACATTAGGCACAGCGAATTAAATAACGGTAGTAAGTAATACTGTATAATATGGTGAACAGGAATAGCATATTAAAATATTAGTTTAGGGACTTGTAGTTTGTTCTTTACAACTAATCTATGAAATCTTATTACACTCAAGTGTTTTCTTCCGTGATAATAGGTTATCTGTTCCAATCTGTTTGTCTTCTCAAATTTAAATGTTCTGGCGTAAAAAAGCTGAAACTTATTTTCTCCAAATGTTCATTTGTATTTCTAATTAGTTAAATCAAACAAACTTGGTAATTCTTGCCCCTATAACTATCCCTCAGAAAGTTCCACAACTCCACAGTGACGAACAGTTAAATAAGGTCAACTTTAAAAACTTCATCAAAGTAAGTAATTATTGTTGCTATTTTAACATTTTTAACACGTATATATGCACGAATTTGTATATGGAGTTTGAGGATGTGTGCTATTTTCACGTCTTTTAATTGAATGATATGATTTTGTCAGTGCCAGTTATAAGGAGTTTAACATTTTGTTGGCCTTACGGCTAATCGATCCTTAAGAAATAACATGGCTGATTATAGTAGTCTATTTAGTTATTTACTCTATCACGATGTATCCATAAATATCGCTAAACACTTTTCGCTAGTATTTGACTGGATACGATTATTTGCAAAGTTACTGTAAAATATGTTTGATGAATAAAACATTTGTCCAATTTACTATTAAATATTGCGCCTTGTTGAACCATACATCGACAAATATGGGCCAGGTGACGTATTTAACCAACAACCAGCTATACACTTTGGAAAAAAGTTTATCATGTATGTTGTAATCATGAACGAGATATGTGCACCGACGTGACAACCAGGGTATGAAAAAGGTTTAAAAATCCTATTCAAGATGACTGCGAGAGTGGTCGTCCATACTACAAACCTATTTCTTAATTTACTCAAGCACAGGAAGATGTGTCATAAGCCTAACGTTTTGGAAAACAACGTTCAAAACCATAAGAAAAAGTAGCAGCAGTAATATTCGAGTTCACAAATTATCGCAAATACATATTCTGTTCATTAGATACCTATACTCCAGTCCTTCGGTTAGTTGATGTTTTACTTAGTCTAGTAAATGAAACCTTTAAATAAATTTACAAAGAATCTAATCGCTTTGTAAATTTTCTGTGACCGTGTGCTATGTCTTTCACTTATCCGTCCTATTTCTTCTTTGTATTGTTTCCTAAATGGAAATATTATCTGTCATTCTAGATCTGGCCACCCTATCTTCCTCGGAACACATTCATAAAACCTTGTGTTCCCAGTTCGTACTTGTCAAAACCTATTCCTCTGACTTCTTATCAACAAACACTAGAAAAATGTGACAGTCGCAAAAGTCTTGTAAAGTCAAAACAACCATTAGATAATGAGCAGGAGCGAATTAACAAACTTTTCGAGTGAGTGGGTCAATCTTTTTTTTCAGTAAACTTTAAATGTACTGATGCATTTATTTCTGTCCAAATCCGTTAAGCATAAAGTTTCGGTGATCTTACTCGGCTATAATGATACCGTAAAGCTAAAAAAAAAGGACTTATCACATGTAGGATATATGTGGGTAAATTTGATTTTTAGGCTTTACTTAAATTGTAAACATATTTTGAAATACTGCGTTTACATGTACTTATAAAAGATTCAGGAATATCTAGTGTAATTTACTTATGTGGAACCCTTACCAACGCAAAATCCTTACATGTAAGCAAATAATTTTTACCTATGTATTAATTAGGTCGTGTTTGTATACACTTTGTTGTTTAAAAATCCGACCGTCTGTAAATTTTACTGGTTCCGCAACTGTAATGTA